TAGCCCATTGTGTAGCTTTGTGCATAACTACAATTAACAACATCAAATTAACAGGTGTAATTCATTTGATGTCAAGCAACTGAGAGATATCAACCAAAACCATACTGGTGTACAGAATTTACAGCAATAAATATTACCAATGGTGTTGCAAGAGGAAAAGGAAAGTACAAGAAAAAATTATAGTCATGTGCAATTACTGGATTAAGTTAACATGAGTGAAAGAAACAAAGAAAATTCATTTTTTAGACTTTTGGCCACTATCAAGCATAAAGGTCAGCAAATAGTGGAAATTTCACTAAAAATGGAGAACCAAATGGCTTAGAAATATTTCTGAAACTGACATCAAAAACAATAGCCTACACCATGTATGGATATGCAATAATCACTTTGTGCAAGGTATTTTGTCTAGTATTCACAAAAGACAATTAAATATTAAAGTCTCAGTGATGAAGCTGAACAATTTCATTGATTACCTATGAGCAGCAATTAAGTCAATTAGTGTCTCATAAACTAATCAATTAATCAAAATTTAAATGAAATTGATTAATGTCATGAAAATAATCAACTATTCAAAATTAGTGTTTCTGATTATTATAATTATTTTTTTATTATTCCAACTACTCAATTAAACAAAATATCACTGTTAGGTTTGTTTGTAGTTAAACACAAAGCTACATAATGGGCTATTTGTGATCTTTCCACTAGGAATGTTGAAACTTGATTTGAGTATTACAAGGTTTTTCCTTCAAGTTTGTTCAGCTTTATGGGGGTAGGATGCTCATGATTCAGGACTCTGGTTCCAAAAAATTCCCATTGCCACCAAATATGTTCATCTTGTCTCTTTGTTATGGCAAAGTTACTAAGGCTATATGCCACTCTCACTAATTTTTAACTGCTGACAAGAAGGAAGCAAACTGGCTGGCAGCTTCTACTGCTAACTTTTTGGCTACTCAAGTGTTAAATAAAGGGTAAGTTGTCTTTTTGTTTTTACAATGTGTTATAATTCTTATTTATAATTAGATAACTGTATTTTTTAATGTTGTACAAGTATGTGAAAGTATACAGACAGTCCAGGGGGTATAGATTCCTACCCTTCCATCTTTTCCAAAAAATAATAACTGTATTCTTAATGTTATGTAAGCAGGCATAGATCTAAGGGAGTTGTCCAGAAGGTCCACGCATCCCCTCCACTTTTATCAGAAATTAATAAAAAAAAATTTCAGGTATCTTACACTACTGTATGGTACCAAAAAGAAAGATTAAATGTCAATATTTTTATTTTATTGAGCTCTTAATTACCATAAATGTTTTATCTTAGGTTTTCTGAAATCAGCAGAGCTTTAGTCTATAGCACTCCAGTGAAGGTCTCAGCCAATAACTGATTATTTCTAACCTAATACAGCAATATGAACACCAAATGTCATGATAAACTCTGGGTTTTTAGACAGTAACAAATTAACAGTGTCTAAACTTTAGAGATTTATTTCCATCAAAGTTAGTATTTTTTAGGTCACCTACAGCTCTTATAATAGACTTGTTAGAGAACTGATTGATTTTTCATTGTTTAGAATATAAAACTCTTGTGTTTCTGTATTGTTGATGTTCAAATTCCAAAATAAGTGAAAAATGCAGGTGGTATGTCTGTTTTAAGTAACAACTGTAAAAACAATTTCTGCAAATAGGAATACTGTTTACGAGTAAATGCTGTAATCTGTAAAAATTTGAAATGTTTTTTCACATCGATCACACTACTAGAAATAGTCCAACACAGCAAATAACTTACAAAATATACATTAACATTATTTTACATTTGTTTCACTTATTTAGGTTATTTTAAAGCTATAGACTCAGCATTATTCAAAAATATTATGTTATTATAATAAAAGTCTGTTCTTACCTGTAAAAAAAAAATACTGAAAATTTGGTTACAGAACTACACATTTTAAAAAGTTAACTGGTAGCATACTATTACTGTTAAAATGAAACATTACTGCAGCTAGCATGGAGAACTTAAAACATTGTTGTTAACATAATACTATATTATCTGAGCAGACTTTCTAGTATTATTATTATTCATTCCCTAACGGTTTTTCCAACTTTGCAAGACAAAGTTATAATTATCCAAACTTTTATGTTACAAAATAATTTAAAGTTACTCTAATTTTTATGTTTTTAACTTTAACTTGTGCTACTTGAAGAATATCCAAAAATACTAGGTTTTTTACTTTGGCTATGTACAAACTTGCCTATCAGATAAAGTGCATAATAATTATTCATTTCCCTTGATTGATTACAAAGCTTTTGAGAAACTGCTAAGTTATAGATACACTTAAGGCTCTTGTGTGATAGTAAACATAACACTGAATAACAAGTCTTCAACAGTGCACACAGTACTATTGCAACAGGCGATCGAAAGTGATTAAGATTCTCGTATTTCTAAATTTTAAAGAGTACAGTTGCTTAAACTGCTAATATGATATATCTTCATGTACAAAATTTTAGGATTAAAAAAAAAATTAGTGTACCCAAAATCTGAAAACAGAGTTTCTTCTACCTTTTCATATTTTTTTGCCACTTTATACATGTCCTGACACAAGTTTCAAAGTCAATTTTATGCAGTGGCCCACAAAAAAAAAGGTGTTTTGTTTTCCTGATACTGGGGGTGGGACTGGAGTAATCAATTAGCAAGTACCACTAATTGCCTAGTTCTACTCAGTGATTGTTTTCCGATTCTTTAGGGAGTGGTTAACCCACTAAAATCAACAAAATTTTGCTAAACATTTGTACAAATTACTAAGCCTACTATAAACTGACAATTGCTTTATAGTAATATGTTACTTTATAAAGTAAACATTTGATCTTATTAAGAAGAAACATTTTCAAAATATTTTCAATTAACACATCAGTGATCAAAGACGAGTTGCAAGGATTTATATGTTATCAACTCTGGTTATCTATATAAATCTATTATCACTGAATTGGAAGTTTAAATTATGCTACCAGTATCATATACATAGGTTAGTAGAAAAAAAAAAGCAAAAATTTGAATTTTATCATATGAACATTAAAGCTCTATACGAGTTGTTTTGATTGCCCAAAGTAGTGACATTGTATAACACTAAGGTGACATTTAAAACTTTAAGATTACTAACTACTTTTTAACTGAACACTATGAATTGTTTTGATTTCACATAGTAATGACATTGTATAATACTGAGGTGACATTTTAAAATTATTTGGTACAATTTAACTGAAACAAAAAACTGTTTCATCAACCAAAAACACTTACATTTTAGAACATGAAAGAATGTAATAAACGTTAAAGTAGTTTTATGTGACATGCAGGTTGGTTCAGTTTAAGCTCCACTGACACAAGGAAAAAATTTAGTATACTAAATTTCCAAAGAAGTCTCTTATTTTCCAGTAATTTGTTTACCAGCAGTCCTTGTTCCCATTCAGAAACAATGTAATTGTGCAAATCTAAACTTCTGTAAGTGTTCATCTCCAAGTTTTACACTACTAGTGCTCAGAACAAGATAATTCACTATATCTACTTCCATTGGGCATCACCCTCTCATTAAGCACCAGCAAAGAGGAAGGAAACATATCTCAGACAACTATATAAATAAATTGTAAGCAACGAGAGCCATGACTGGACATATCGACAAAACAGTTTCATGTTACAGCACAGAAACTGTGAATGTACGTGAACTTAACTTTTAGGAATGCTACCTGGCTTAGGAAATCACCAAATGAGGCAAAAGGAATCCAAAAGCTAAAAAGGCAGCAATGCAATGTGAAGCACATATACAAACATAATGGGATACATCCACAAACACACTTGCAGAATTTCCTCTTAAACTACAACCAAGATGCCTAAGACATCACAAAATGCAAAAATTGGCAAGATGAATCCAAAATTCACTAATAAGGTGATAGGGTACATCACAGTTAACAAGGATCAAGTATAACAGCCAATTTGCTAACGTTTTCAGAGCAAGATGAAAAGAAAGGGATTCATCATAAGGTATAAATAACCTGTTCCAAAATCCACTGAATGATTCAGAGTGTGCATGTGAGAAAGTGATCAAACAGACCTGAATGGATATAAAAAGTGATCTTCTGAATGATAAACTGGGTCAGTCAGGGTATGTAACAAAACAGATGAGAAACAACTGTTACCTTCCATACAGCCCATGTCTCAAGTAGGACTGTATCTGGATAAAAGTATAGGATCTTCTGAGAAAATACGGTACAACATATACATGATGCATCTATGGCATAGATAACTGAACCTCTTCTAATTCTACTCAGTACAAGGAAAAGTAAAAAATATGCGAGAGATATATGCAAACATATGACTATGGTTTCAACAAACGTTTCGAAACATAACAATAAACTCAAGTTTTACTAAGTTTTAGTCATACTCATCATGACATAAGATTCACAAAACAAAGCAGTCAAAAAATCTCACTATCATAAGGTAACTTTCATAACATATATGATAAATGTGGTATATTGTAACAGTATGAGCATAACACATAAGTCATGTTCTTTGTCATTACCAAATTATGCTTCAATTAAGGCCTGGTTTGGCTGTTGATGATATTATGTTTAAACAGTAGTTCTTTGTAGTACTGATACTTGTAGCACAATTAGACAATACATTATACAGTTATGTTGCCAGCGTTCCATTACTTGTTACAACTTACGCTGTTATTTTAAGTTTAAGCCTTAACGTTATTGACACAGAAGTTGAATCTTAATACTTTATTTTTTAAAGCTGTCAACTTTTCAGTAGTCAATTCTTAACAACAAGATCAAACCTATCTTAAGTATTTACTTTTCTATTCATTTGTGCGAGTCAACCTAGGCCAATATTCCTATTAAATTTACAAAATCGCACTGGGCTACTTTGTAAATAATAAAATATGGATATGTTATTGTTAGGCCTAGCTCACAATGAATTACGAATAATTAATAATGGTTTGTGTAGATACCTTCCGTAAATGCTTTCTGCAATTTTTGTCCTTTTCATTGGGCGTCTAATTTTGCCGCAGTCAGCATTGCGTCTCTTCATAGTTTTATTGGCTATTTTTGACAATTTCTTATGATATAGGTATTTTTTTAACTGTTCAACTTCAATCAGTATTAACGCAAAACTTTAAAACGCACATCCAAACCACACAAGCAAGTGTCATACGTAAATAACCTGAAAAACTTTTTTTTTTCTGGCAAACATCGAGGATGTAAACACTATGCGCATGTCAATATGACGTCAGGCCACGTTGATCGAAATGGTGTGACTTGCCTGTGAAATAAACTTTCTGAAACGTTTAGGCTCGTGAACTACATATACACAACTATTTAAAAAAGAAGTTGTTGTCATTAAGATTTTATATATATTTAATAACATTTGCAAGTACTAAAAAATCCATAAAACAAGTGTGTAGCTTTGAATAGTAGGCAAAAACGCAGGCTGCTTATTTTAGCTCAAAAATAAACCGGTTTCTAATTTTGTACAGATCTTATGCGTTTTAAATCACAAAGCACAACTTTACTTTAAGATCACAAAATATATTTACAAGTTAATTATTCAAATATGTCGGCTCATAGCATGTTTTCTTTTTTGTTGTTGTTAATTGGTCGACCATTTCATTCAGACAGCTTTTTGTTTGTTTGTTGTCACGTTCAAAGTTACATAATGGACTATCTGTGTTCTACTCACCGCAGTTATCGAAACCCGATTTTTAGTGTGATAAGCCCCCAGCCTTACAGCTGAGCAATCGGAGTGGGGGTGGCAAGACTGCTTGTTAAAAAAATGATTAAATTTTCTTTTAAAATCAAAACCAAGAATTAGGCTTAAAGTTTTTAAATATAATTATATACTTTTGTTATTGTTAACCCAAAGCTACACAAATCTATGAGTATCTAAACCCGTTTTATTTAGCATAATAAGCCTTCAGACTTGCCGCTGAGCCACCATGAGGGGGGACAGCAAAAAAAAATAACAACAAAACTGAAAATTTGTATAATACATGTTACGACAGCGGTAGTCACGTGACTCTGGTAACGCGTCATGATATTCTCGAAGGATCGGGGAACATCACGAATAATCCAGTATTTGCTAGGCGCCCTATATTCCTGTATATAAGTGCGCCGGTTAACGTGAGACTAATCAATCGGAATTGAATTGCAGACAGAGATAGAAACAACAATTGAGTCAAGCAATTTGAATTCATTTGGACTAAGTAATATCTCCTTGAATAAAAGGAGTGCTACTCCTTGATTTGTTATAATTCCCTCAACTTTAAGAGAAGTCCTCAAAAGCTTATATCTTTAAAATTCCAAATAATCCCCTAACTGCGGCCAAATGATTAACCTGCTGGACTGAGGATCCCCGATAAGTCAGCGGTAAGTTGGCAGATATACAACGTTATACTCTGAGATTGGATTCTCGCAGTGGACAGAGCGCAGATAGCCCCTTGTATACCTCTGCGTTAAATCAACAACAACAACAACTGCTGTACAATGAATCTGAGGTTCTCTGTTTTGTGTCCCATTGACTTCAACAAGCAAAACAAAAATCGTGTTCTGCACTTTGGGGCCATAGTTGGGTTATAAGATTAATGATCAAATCACATTATTAGGTTTGACAGTTTGTTTGTTTTGTTGCACAAAGCCACTCAATGGAATTTCTGTGTTCTGCCCACCGCAGGTATCAAACCCCGAATTTTAGCGTTATAGGCTCTCAAACTTACCATTGAGCCACCAGGGGGCCAGTCTGACAAGAGTTGGTGGTAAGTGGTGTTGACGAGCTGTCTTCCCTTTACTTTCTATTATTGATGGTCGATGAATTGGAAATTTTCCTGATTAAACACTCTGGCACTTTTTTACATTTTATAAATAATCACACTCTTCTCATATGTTATACATAAACATTTTGAATAAACCTTAAGACATCCCGACAAAGCACAGAAATTATTCATCACGAAAATGCATAATTGCTCAATTTTTGCTTAAATCCTACGAGTTTCACCTTCAACAAGATACCATGTTCCTTTCTCTCTCCCTCAGCCGCTTTTTTATTATTCAACCTGGTGAAAAGCAGGCTTCCACTTCTTTACCCCCCCCCCCCTGACTTTCCCACCATAGTAGCTTGGTGCTTGCAGATGACAACAAATTGACAACCAAACTTTAGAGGAGCAGAGCCACTGTAACTTTGGTGAAATCCTTGCCACTCACTTGCATTTTTTTCTTTCTTTCACAGGTCATGCTATCTACTGAACAAGAGCCCTTAGTACATATTTTTTTTACGTTTCATTTCTTAGATGAGAAGCCCTTTTGTACCTATAATCAAAATATAAGAATATGTTATTTGTTTTACCGCTTTTAGTCTATTATTTGCGACTTGGTTGACCCTAGATAATTGATTTATGTTACTTTTATGTTCTTACGGTGGCATTGTTACCATAGCTTTCCTCTCCACCTCGGTTGGTCCTGACGTTTTCACAGTCTTATTGTTTCTTCTTCTCTATTTTTATATTCTTATCACACCATCTCCTTTCGATATTTATAAATCTTCTTTCGTATATACATCCAAGTAGTCCAACACTTAATTATGAAATGAAACTAATAAAAAGATGTTCTGACAGGTACACAGTAAATGTAAATATTAACTTCATTGTTGCTTATTTGCTTTTTACCTTGTAACTTTGACTAAAACAGTACGATTTTAAGGCGACTGCGTTACATGATTATTTTACAAATGTGGTCTTTTCAGACTAAGAAAAGTGAGTTTGTTAGAGCCCCCAAACTGAAAGTTCAATTATATTGAATCACTACATGTTTCTCCCGGAACTCTGACAGAGTTCATCGTACAGAAAGAAACACGAATGTTCAGATCCAAAGATCGTAATTTAACACAAATAAAAAAAAATACAATGCTAAACAAAACACTACGAAACGGTAAATGTGTTTAATGAATATGTAGAACTGATAAAATATTTGAAAAGTCTTTAATAGCTTCTTTTACCAGTGCATGTATTCCCCCCTGTAAGCTAAAACCAAATCAAACTATAAGTGAGAATAAACTAAAAACACATTCGATAAGTCGAGCTAAAAATAAAACAGATAAGTCAAATGCAAAACAAATTCAGACTACCTCAAAAGTCGGGGTCTGCTATATGTTAAAATTATTTTACTACTATAACAAAAAATTCACGAAAAACAAGGTTAAAATGAAGGTATAATATTAACGTAAACTAAAGAATGCTAAAATGAGTTCACTGAAATTACATGTTACAATGACAAGAAAGTTAAAGGTAACGTTAAATCAAATTCAATAAAGTCCTCAAACTTTCTAAGTTCTTAAGCTTTCTTAAAATATCCTTAAACGAGACAGACCTAGTTTCACATATATATAAACATTAACATTAAACATAGCCAGACTTGGCTCTGCGAGTTGCCCATATTTTGCACTAAATGTATGGTATTCTTTAATTATTATTCAATTTGCTGACAAGAAAAAACCTGTTTCTCTTACGTTACAAGTTATCTTTTTAGTAAGAAAACAGGAATAACAACCATTCAGTGAATAGGTGTGCAGTACACAATAGAGAAAGGGAAAATTTAATAATTTACTCAAGCACCTTACTGCACCAGACTAAAAACTATGAAAAACATTTTAAAAAAAATAGGTATTAACTGAGGGAGGAGCTAACGTATAGAATGGTCCTGTACTACACAAATTTAACATATCTTCACCTCAAACAACAGCAACATTTAATACCAATCTTTGCATGATATTGAAATTTATCAATTGTATTGATTGTCAACCTTTATGTGTTTAGGGTCATAGCTGAAGCTACTCTGGCATCTAAACGGTTATCTGTATTGCCCTTAATGATACAAAATTAATTACTTACATATACCGAGTTTTCAACTGCTAAGCGAAAGAGACCTTAAAGCTCACTGTAAAGACATTATTGCCATAGAATATTAATACTTTCAAATTTGAATTTCATCTGCTGGTCACGGGAAAAGCTCAATAGACATGTCACTGCTCTATACAACAAGGGTTATTTGCAATAGCCATCCCTGATTTGAAAATAATAGACTAAAGGGAAGGCTGCTAGTGAACTGAACCATCATCAATTCTTGAACTACTATACTTGAATAGTAAAATTTGATCATAACTCTTATAACACGCTCTCGACCCTAAAATACACAGCATGTATATGTGACAGAGAAGCACGAAACATAGACCCTCGGATTCACAGTCTGACACCCTAACCACTGGATGCACTTTCTTCAGTAATATTATAATTTTTACATGCTATCTTTTTTTTGTTTCTTCAAAACCTCAACATACAATAACTGCCTGTCACCTTTGCCAACAGCTCTACTATGATATGCTGATATTTTCTGCTGCAAATCCTATTGTATTGGGCCATTTGCTAAATTTAGCATATTGTTGTTCTGAAAATGAAGGTTAGCTGTGACAATCCACAAAGACAATTGAACTTTCGCCTCCTTAGAAATTGAAATATAATATTTTCCCCAAAGAATCTCCTCAAAAACTTATGAAAATAAAATAATAATTGTGATAATCGATCCAAAACCTCATTTTATACTCCACACTATCTCATCTTAAAACTATATTTTTATTTATCACCAAAAGAAATCTAAGCAATAGCCATTCCAACTGAGTAAAATACAAAATATAGCAAGTTGCTTTATTTATCTCCATATGACCTCAGTATAAGTCATTTATTTAAAACACTTTTAAATAGTTTTTTTTAATGATTATACTACTAGAATTAAGTCTTACTAACATCTTACAGGTTTAAATAATTCCAGGTTTATCTTCATGTTAAGGTAACTTTTCTGAAAATAATTTTCACACATACTTTCTCTTTCAGTTAAATTGATCATATAATGTTGGCCATTCATGACCATATACAGCCCCATTACAAGACATCTGCCATGTTTGTACTACTACAATTAATCATATTTTATCAATTTTCTTCTTACAATTTTAGCCCGTTCTCTGTCAACCTCTCACTTATTTTTGTATTTCTTTTTCATTATTTACAACACACACACACAAACCAAAATCATGTCCTTCCATCAGCGTTCATTAACTTAAAGTGGTTAAAAACATTATATTAATAAGTATTACAGATCAACATTATATTAAAAACGACTTTGGAGCCTCAACATATCTTTTACAGTCCATGTTGCTACATCGTATCATGCTCTATCTGATGAGCATGCATCTTGACAATAGCCCTGCAGTTTAGTTTTCATTGGAAAAGGCCCTTTTGTCGTGTCAAACCTTCACACTTTCTTTCTATTGGCTTTTCTTAATCCATCTCATGTGCGAAGAAAATGGTTCCCCCTACCCATTTCAATAGTCTTATAGCCCAGAAATTCATAGCGAAATGAGCGGTTTGTATTCTTTTAAAATAGCATGAATACCCGTATCATTCTCCAGCTGCTTAAACAAACACTTGATTTCAAGCAACCAATGTATGATTTGTCCTCAGTAGAAGCAAGAAAGGTGAAATTTCCATGACTGTAGACTTGAAGTGGCATAATAATCATGTGACAACTCCTGTGAAACCTTTCCTCAGTCTTTAGTAGATGAAGTTGATTTAACTTGTGGTCCTACGTTGTTGCTGCACAACTGAAATAAAAACTGAAGGTCGAGGAAAATAGTTACATGTCAGGCCTGCTTATCGTTACAATTATTCTGTTAGTTTAAGCAAATAATATGACATCTTCTCCCATATAAACATAGGTAGCTTTAACCAGTCTTACCACTGCTGGAATCATGCAGTGATCTCATATAGTATCCACATGGACCTGGTGCACAATGTAATCCCAAATAACCCATCTCTGGGGCATTATAAAAGTGCAAATCTTTGGGAAATTTCTTCTTCTTTTTTTGGTAGATACTTTGTTATTTTATCCCTCATCATTTTCCTGTCATTTAACTCCTGTTAAATCTCAGAATGATGCTATATTCTATACCAATATCTCCTGCTGATGTATGTGCAGAAGGCTTCTCATTTCTACAAACCTCTCTCTCTCTTGTTTCCATATTTTCATAACACGAAGCAAAGCAAAACATGTTTTTCTGGATTGGTAATCCTGGAATTCATACCTCATTCTTACTTTTAACTCAAGCTTCACTCTGCTTTATCACATAACTTCATGATTTGTGACTATTATTCACGTAAGCAGGCGGGGTTTTAATCTGCCCTACAAAGCTTTGTTTGACTTCAGTCACCAGAGACTTCCTGTACTGTCCAACTTGTCATGCAATGATGTGTATTGTAAACTTCTACTTCATTTCTGATAGCCTTTCTATCATCTCTCTTTCTCTCCCTGCTTTGGAAGTTATGATGTCTCTGTTGATTTCGTAGTTAGAATAGGAGATACATCTTTTTGACTTAGCTTCCTAAAAAGAGATTCTCTGCACAGTTTTGTCACCATTTCTCTATGGCTCATTTTATCCACACCGACAACACTGCTTTGATTCACCTGTTGTAGTTTCTGCAAACGATTAGATTCCAGCAGGGAGTTTATATTTTCACACAATAAGTCAGGGTAATGGTTGTTGCCATACGAGTGTCATTCGCACCTCAGCTGAAATTTATGGCTAACTATTCTTGGTCATTTCTCTTAGGCAGCATTTTATACAACAATTTTCACAACGTAAGATCACTTCAGTCTGCGGTCCGGCATGACCTGATGGTTAAGGCGTTAACTCGCAGTCTGTGGGTCGTGGGTTCGAACCTCTTCTCCGAATATGCTCACTCTTTTAAACATGGGGGCGTTATAATGTGATGGTCATTCCAACATTTTATTGGTAAAAGAGTAGCTCAAGAGTTGGCGGTGGGTTGTGTGACTAATTGCCCTCCCTCTAGTCTGTCACTTCTAAATTAGGGATGGCTATTACAAATAGCTCTCGGGTAGCTTTGTGCAAAATTTAATAAACAAATATAAAACTTCAGACTTTAACATTTATAGCCAATTGACAGTTTTTGAAGTTACTTTTAATGTCGATTGAACCATTACTCTTAGCAACTTAAATTATTATTCTAAGAAAATGTTTGTAAACTCAAATGGAATAGGCATTACTCTCCAATGTACAAAACTTTCAAGTTCGCCATATTAAATATCTGAAACTAACCTTTCAATGGTTAATAATTTTTATCTTAGTTATTGTTTTCTAGATAAAATTCACTGATAAAACAGTTGCCAAGCAGGCTAAGTTTTAGTACAATATGGAATTAAAGTTGCATTATATTCATTATTATATAAGACCTGCTGGTAAAATGATGACAAAACCTTTACTACTAAATAGGCTAGATTCTAATCCATCATGGATTCAACTTTCTAGAAATAAGCATTTAGAACGAAACATCTCCACACATTTTCTTCTTGACCAGCAGTCTGCAGGCTTAAGACATTTTAACAATTCAAATTTTTTGAGAGCTGTTACAGTTTGATTTTTTAAGCAGTGATTTTTGAAATTATTTAATGATTTTATGTATTTTTTGTGTAACCAAAAAAAGTATTTGAGGATTTAGATTGTGTGTTTAGTTTAGGTTTTTCTAAGCTAGGCTTTCTGAAATATTGTGGAGATCCGAGGAACTAACATAAAAGTAGTCACACATCAAACATATGTAAATTTTATGTAGTGAGAATCAAGAATACGAGCTTGATCACTAAACATTTTAGCTAAAAAATATATACCGTATGGAAAAAAAGTCAAATTGAAAGCTATTAATGAATTTTATTAAATATTATCAGTATAAAAATATATTTATTGCTAAGTATAAATATACAAATTTTGGGATAGCATGTAAAATAGCCTAAGGAATAAAGTTAGTATAGTTGGAATGATTTTTTTTGTTTCCCTACAGAAACTAAAGCTTTATTTTCTTTCTCATATTCTTATACTCTTCTTGCTATTGGTCTTTTTTTTCGACATGTTAGAAAAAATGTAAAAACAGCCTTTTATTCTCCATTGACCATAACAAATGTGGATATTTCTCCAGTGGATGACCTGAATCGGTAAAATTTTATTAAACATGCGTTTTTTCTTGTAAAGTATAACTAATCTGAAGTTTAAGTTACAGTAGACAAACATCAATTCCATATTTAAAACTATTATACGTTAAGGAGCTAATAAAATGTTTTTTGGGTTCATAAAGTTAGTGAGCAACTTGAACAGGGTGGATAATAGACTAGGTTTCCAATTTCGGGATAATACTAGAAAAATCCATAAGATATTGATATAGGTCAAAAAGCAGTTTTAAAATTTGAATGTTTAATGAGTATGGTTGTTTGGTACCGAAAGATGAGCCTAATGAAAAAAAAAAAAAAAAAAATTAATTGGACAATGATTAGTGAAACAACGAATAAAGGAAATCAGAGTTATAAGATCTGTTCG